CAGCCATCCAAAGCTGATGGCCATTTGCTGAGTTTATAGTTTGAGAAGAAAGAAGCGTAATATGGACCTTTAAGTACGTCAGTTTTTTAAAAACTTTTAATGGATGTTTTACGGCAGACACAACTGCCTAAGGTCATATGAGGGCCAGAAGATTAGAGGTGTTACAAGAGAGCAACAAACATAAAAAAGAAGAAGGGGAGATAAGGGACGATAGATGTTTGATAGGAAAGAAGAAACAAACCACACCAGAGCACCCGCCAACCACCCACTCACATACGTACGTCAAAGCTAGGAAAGACAAACAAGAGAGGCAAAAGAAAGATGTGGAAGAAAAGAAGTAGGACCTACACAAGAAATGCACTCCAACAACCCTCTGGAAAGATTTCTAATTTAAGTTTTAGTAAGAGTTTTACGGCACTTGCAACACAATAAGGTCATATACGTGCCGAAGAATAGAGGCGTTACAAGAGAGTAACAAACACAAAAAAGAAGGAGGGAAAATTAGGACAAAAATGATAAGACGTTCGATAGGAAAGAGGGAGCAAACCACAGACTAGAGCTCCCGCCAACCACCCACCCCTTGGAAAGCAGCAAGGTTTGGGTTAGTCCAGCTTGAGAAAGGAGAAGCACGCCAACACAGCAAAGATAATTCAGTGCAAGGGAAACAACAAAATGAATAAAAGGTAAAACGGTATAGATCTAGGGTTAACACCCCTGTCAACACTACGAGTATTATTAGGTTGTTCAAAAGGAGGGACCTCCTTGTTTAACGTCCATCTCCGAAAGGACCGAGCCCAGTAGGAAGTTAATGTAAAGTGCCTTTTCCAAAGGACACAACGTCGGACCAAGCTGAGGCTCAAACCCCCGATCCCGCAATCTCACGATTGCTGGTCCGAAAACGTGACTAAGACAGGTGTGAGTTTTGGTAAGAGTTTTACGGCACTTGCAAAATAATAACTTATAATATAAGGCCATAAGCGTTTTACGGCACTTGCAACATAATAACTTATAATATAAGGTCATAAGAGTTTTACGGCACTTGCAACACAATAAGGTCATAAAAGTGTCAGAGATGTAGAGGTGCTACAAGAGAGTAACAAACACAAATAAGAAGGAGAAGAGATCGGGACGATAGATGTTTGTTGATAGGAAAGAAGGAGCAAACCACACCAGAGCACCCGCCAACCACTCGCTAAACCAAGACAGTGACTGAAACAACAAAGGCAAACAAAGAAAGAAGGACCAACCCGTGGCACCCTCTAACTACCAGAAGAGCACAGCACGAATTTTGTTGTTGTTACAGTAAGGTTATACGGCGCACGCAACTGCATTAAGGTCATATGAGCACCAAGGGGTGGATGTCAACAGAGAAGTCCAAACGGGGAATCAGACTTACTCTGCTCACCTCTCTAGCCTCAACAGCACAAAGTCAGCTTCGACTATCAAGGCTCCCGGAAATAGCAGTTCACAAGAAAGTGACAAACATACAAAAGAAGTAGAGGAAAAATGATGATAGTAAGGATGAGGAAAGAAAAAGCAGCAGTTCCCCCTATATTGTTCCGGTATGAGCATGACATTGATAAATCCGCCCATGTACAATCTGCAAGAAATTAGCGTTAAGAAAATCTTCAAATAAATGACACCAACATCTTTTCTTACAATAAGCAAATAAAACTTTAATCCATCTGTGTAACTAAATGGCGTGATGTGATATCTTCTTGTGACAGAAAAAAAAGTCAAATGACGGACGCTACACAAAGTGAGCAGACACAGACAGCAATCGCAGAGATTCACACACCAAACAGAATATTATACACATATATATACACATATACATTTATACATTTATAATCCACACTGGTTCACATT